TCCAGCGCTATGTGTGGGGTCTAAGAGACGGAACGCTCAGTGTGCGGTTAGGGTGCGTGCTGCTCCAAACAGCGCTAGCCACGCCAGTCCGCCATTACGATCCGGACACGCCCCCCGAGAATTCCTATTCACGCAACACCCATATTGATGTGTGATCTCGTATTGTCACCGCCTGGCCTAAATTCTGACAAAAAAGCTCCAATGTGTTGTCACGTAATTCATAAATTTACCTATGAGCACATTTGCAGCACAAAACTCTGTTCCAATACAGAACGTAGTCTGGCTCCGGTCACTTGCAGAGAGATCAGTGTCCCTGGTTACCAGCTAACCAGGGACACTGATCTCCTGACAGCAAACTCTCCCGGGCGCTCCGGGAGTCTCCCGCTCCCGGCCGCCCAGGAGTCGTGTCAGAATAGAAAAAATAAATAAAAAAATGTTGCCCATAGGAATGCACTGATAGATTCCTATTGGCTATTTCAATTTGCAATAGCCAATAGTAAACTAGCATTGCACCTGCCCTCTGCTGCAGTTCTCCATCAGGTCCATCAGCAGAGGGCAGATAGGAATCTAGCAATGCATTCCTATGGAAAAAAATATATATATATTTTTTTCTATTCTGACACGGCTCCGTGTCAGAATAAAGAAAAAAAAAAAGAACATTTACCTGCACATTTTTGATTTTGATATGTTGGGTTTACATCTGCTTTTAGGATAATTAGCTAGTTTGCTGTAAGCAACGTGTGGAGACATACATACAGCCACCAGAGGGAGCAATAACACTGGTACCGACAATTAGATTGCTTGCGTTTCTTTTTTGGATAATGTTGCTTGGTTAGCACATCCATTTTATAATGGAAGTCGAATTTGGAATACCTTTGCTATGTGCTGTTTGCATCATTATGTGACAAATGATAATGACAATTCTGCTTCTAAACATCATTGCAAACATAAAAAGCTGTATTGTGGCTGCTCCTCCTTCTGAAAGTGTAATAACTGTCATGGCTGGGTAGTTACAAAGACAGTACAGCTCCTACTTTTTTCCCAAAATACATCAGATTACTAACATATTATTGTGGTTCAGATTAGTTTATTTTCATATCATTAACATTGTTAATCATTTATATTTAAAGATCTAAACAGCTCTGCTTTCAGCAAGTATATAACTGTTTTGCTGTGGTTCTTCTTTAAAGCTGGCCATAAACTAATAGATTTTTTTCATTGGACAAATTTCTCGCTGATTGGCTGCAGCCAATGTTCAGGTGAAAATTTTCGGTCCGGCTTCATTGATAAAGAAATTGAGTAATCAACTTTTGTCGAGTCGGCAGGGCTACCCTCTGTAAAAACTGCAGCCAATACCTATGAATTGGACAAAATTCTAATGGTGTATGGCCAGCCTAAGAACTTGGTTCATACATGTAAAACAAGATCCTGGGCTTGTTCACACCATGCCCAGATCAGATGTGGACCAGGACGTCTTTTTGTCAGCACCTAAAATGCATCCCAATGTATTCCTATGGTATTTTGGGGCTCTGTTTACACCAGTGCAGTCTGTTCTGCTGCAGGAAAACAAAATACTGCATGCCCTATTTCTTTGGTCTGGAACTCACCAAAACACATGTAATCACATACAAATGCATGCAGGTCTGGTCCGGACATGCTGTGAACAAGCTCTCAGGCATTAGTGCATATTCCAGTTTAGCAACAATATGAAGTGTAATAAAATTTAATGTTATGCAGGTATGTTTGGAGAATACAGTACTGCTGTTTGATACATATCTCTACACTGTGATCACTATGATTCAGTTACATGCGTACACATGCTACACAATGAATCAATCATATTTAGTGTACTTATCAAAATGACCCCCAAAAAACACCTCAATATGAGAATACAAATATATAGAGCATTATAGTGCAGTCACTAAGCAGAGCCAACACATAGGGGTTAATTCATAAAAGCTTTGTCCAGCGTATAGCTGGGTGGATGCCATTCGCACAGCACTGGTGCCCTTAGATGGCGTTGACAAGTAAAATCCTATACTCATCAACGCCATCTAAGGGTGCTAGTGCTCTGGGACAGAACTTTTTATAAATTGAACCCCTTATACTCCAGTTGTTTGAATTGTTTACTCTCCTCCGATTGTTATAAGAATCAGATGAGGTGAACAAGCTGGTGTCAAAACGTCTAGATAAACATTTTACAGTCACTAATTGTGCATTGTATTGCATGGCATTGCATTGTAATCACCTCAGCAAGGAAGGGGAACTACTACTACTAAAAATAAAATAAAATTGTTGTGCTACCTATAGTTTTCTTTTAAAGTTTAGAATTTTTCTGAAATTAGAAAAATAAAACTCTAACTTAGAGAAAACATTTAACTGGGGATTCCAGATTCATGAGAGATTTCAAAATAATGAAGTCTTTAGTATTGTAATAATGACACATGATCTGCTATGGGGGAAAGTTAAAAAGATACAAGATGCCCACAGGTAATTCAGGTCATCTGTGCCCACTAAAAATAAAAAGAGGGTTAGGAAGAGTAATTCTTTAATGTGGCACTTAACAAAGGAGTTAGATTTTAAAAAGGCATTCAAGTACCTTAACTATTAATAAAAATGTAGATTTGTGTAACACTCGGCTGTAGATCCTCAAATCATCTCTGAATTTGTGCTGACACTGTCCTTCCTTCTGGAGGGTGACTACTCTTGTCCCCCATGGTCCCGGTGTGTGTTGTAGAGTAGCCACCGCTCCAAGCTCACTCCCTTGATGGACTACAACGTCATGTTCAGTTTACTAATTTGCAGGGATGCACCAATACCGATACTAGTATTGGTATCTCTGCCGATAACGAGTATTTGTGCGAGTACTCGCCCAAATGCTCCGATACTTATCTCCCATACCAGAACTTCCGGTCAGAGGAAGATTTCCGGACCGTGCGATCAGGAAGCTGGGTGGCAAGCAATGACCCGCCTCCCAGCTTCCTGATTGGCTGGGAAGCTGGCACCATGCTGATTGGCCGGGAAGCCGACTTCCTGTCCAATCAGCATCAAGCCGGCCAAACAGCCGGCTCAATGCTGATTGGCTGGGAAGCCGACTTTCCAGCCAATCAGCATAGAGCCGACTTTCCAGCCAATCAGGAAGCCGTGAGGTGGGTCATCACTTGCCACCTGGCTTTCTGATTGGCCGGGAAGCTGGCTTGATGCTGATTCGCTGTGAAGCCGGTTTCCCGGCCAAGCTCAATCAAGCAGGTTAGACAAAATGGAGTCAGCTTCTCGGGCAATAAAATTGTCTGGGAAGCTCGCTCTATGGAAGCGGATGCACTGGTATCGGTACTCAGTAGCAAAGTATGCTAAGTATCGGTACTTGTACTTGATACCGAAAAACCGGTATCGGGGCATCCCTGCTAATTTGTATTGAAATTATAGTCTACCACTTGAGTGAGCTTGGAGCAGTGGCTACTTTACAACAAACACAGAGACCAGAGATGATTTGAGAATCTACAGCTGAGTGATACACAAATAATCTACAATTTTGCTAACAGTTAATGCACTTGAATGCGTGTAAGATTTAACTCCTGAGATTAGTGTCACTTTAATACTTAATAACAATAATGTAATATTTATTATAATTGATAAATTGATTGCATCCCACTAGGATTAGTACTTACCTTCAGACCCGAATCCAGCAATCTTTACTGGGCAGCCCTGCTCAAAGCAGCATAACCGTTTTCCCATAAACAGCCACTTACTGCACATGTGCATGCAGAGCCATTCCTTCCTATAGGAAAGCCATACTTTGTGCAGCCTCTAGCAGTCGCTTGGAGTACAGCCTACCCATAGGAATGAATGGGGCCACAGTGCCAAGACAAAGTGTCCATTTATAGAAAAAAAGGCTGTAAGACTCAGAGCGGGTAGCAATTCAATTCAACCTGCTAATTGCTACACAGTTTAAACAATACTACAATAATACAGTATAGCAACTGAAGAAACTGCAGGCGCATGCACAGTTCAGGTCTTCACCCAAGAGACAAGGAGAGATACATAAGTCAATGGAGGCAGCGTGCACCCACACAGACCCCGTGGGACAGGAAGTGACAGGAAGAGAGAGGAGTCAGCGCTGGATCAGAGACCGGCACCGGCGCTGGAGGGACTCCTGAAAACTACAGGAAAGAAGAAGATTGGATCAAGAGTGGGGGGGGTGTGACATTTCAGGCTTTGATGTCACTTTAATTCACTAAATATCAGACATACATTTGTTTTACATATCCATTGAATGGCAGGTGTGCTTTGTGGTGTGCTGCAATGCGAGTGCTTTGCACGCTAATCTTACAGTATGTTGGTGTACATCAGGATGCCTTTACACACCAATGTGAAGGGGACCTAAGGAGCACCTCTACACTTTATGGAGCTGCAGTTCTGCAGATGTTATTACTGATCTGCCTTCTGCCTGACCTTTGGACTAGTGAACATGATCACACTGTTGTTTCCCATCCCAAGCTTTCTGTTTCCATCTTCCAATGTATTGGTTAATAGAGAAGGCATTAGCACTGAAAGCCTGTTTCTGTTGTTCTGTTGTCATGTAGCAAGTATGAAACAGATTACACAAGCTTAATGCAAAGATGGTTTCAAAAGATGAGCGAACATACACATGCTGTGCTGTTAAAGGCCAACTATTTTTTATGGCCTATTTATTTATTTTCAAGTAGGTTTAATATTTGAAGTATAGGTGACAGAGTCACATTCATCTGGTTTATTTTACAATACAGTAAAAAGTGTATAGATGGATAACTCACAGCAGATTGAGAGTTAGGAACTTACTTATTAATCACAGCAGGTGGGTGGAATTGAGGACTCAGGAGCATAAATCTATCCATTGGTGTTCCCAAGACATATAAGAAGATAATGTGTAATATAAATCACTTGCATTCACCCAGAAATTAAATATCAGACTCATTTTTTAACGAGTAAATATTACATTTTCCTTCAGATCTTTAACTTACCGTAAGGGCTGCTTGTCTCTGAGGTACAGTTCCAAGCTTCTTCTGAGCTCCCATCTCTTTCATCATCCCAGTTACGCTTGTTGAGAAGTGGCAAGGACACAGCATTCTTAATGATGGGGGAGATTGGAGGAGGTGGAGGTGAAGTGGGATGCCCAGGGGATTGGGGTTCAGGTGACATCCATCTAGCCTGGCGGAGTTTCTTGGTTATGTAGTTCCAACGATTATGCCTTTGTTTCTCGTGACAGTTGCTGAGAAATGCGGTATCTCCAAAGACTTCACCCTTTCTACCCACATGCATAGTGTGCCGGAAGTCACCTAGAGGAAGGCTAATCATATCTGTTGTCAGTGGCACTCGTTCTCGCCTGGACCGAAAAACCAGGTTTTTTATGACTGGAAGGCTGCCCAGACTCATTGTGACGGTTTAATGATGTGAAATGAATGACCAAAAAATACATGCAAGGAATTTCTATAGCATTTTTTTTTGTGACAAATCCTATTGTCAAATCCAGACAATTCAAGGATTTTCTTTCCCTTTTTCTTCACTTGGTTGGTCAAGTTGTTGTCTTCTAAGTATCTTGTGTTTTCCCTATGCAATAGTGAAGCAGAAATATTGATATCACAGATGTGTAGAGCCTTCAGTCAATTCCTCAAGGGAAGACCATGTATCATCCAATTTATTATGTTATGATCACTGAAGATGGCAAGACGGGAAGGGGGGGGGGGTGAAAAATAATCCCAGTTCTTAATTCAGTATTACACATCAAGATGAAAAAAGCCAAAGCTGTCTGTTCAACCTAAAAAAAGCAAGAAACAAGAAAAAAAAGCCACTGTAAATATACAAGTATAAAACAATGATTCTGCAATCAAAAACATCAGTTTATTTAAAGCCCAACTGAAGTATCATGTATTTTTTACAATCTCTGTATCTCTTTTTTATCTCTTTTTGTGACTGATTGTTTCTTAAAGTGGTCCTTTACCCCCTTTGGCTAAAAAACAAAAACATCAGCAAACAGCTCTGCATGCTGATATGAAATCATCTTACATTTATTAGTTAAACAAACATATTTTCATTTTACTTACAATTTCTTGTATTCTACTTCCTGGTTCTCTTTGGCACAATTGATGTAACCCTGCCCAAGCATTGAATCCTGGGAAGGTTACATCAGCAGAGCATTGCATGGAAATCTCATCTGTAATCTCCCGAGATCTCAGGGAAAGGCATTTTCCTCCCCTGAAATGATGTGCATGGTCACATGTCCTAGTCACATGTGCCAGAGCTCCAGGAAGTAAAGGTAGATGGATTAATTTGCACTTAGTTAAAAATGGCCACCATGAGAAGAATGGGGAGAAAAAGAAAAACAAGGTATGCAAAGAATAAAAAGCCTGCAATTATCTAGAAGTATTTGTTTGTAGATTACTAAACATTTCTAAAGGTGCCTTTGTTGTTATTTTGAAGATATGGGTAAAGTTCCTCTTTAATATCCTTTTCTCTCAGGTGAGTATAATGCAAAAACGAGCATCTAACCCTTGCAGTGCAGGGTTAATAAAATATCTGCCCTTAGTTTTTCTTTATTACAAGGCATTGCTTACAATGTGCACTTACATATGAGTAAGTGTACATATACCATTTCCCAGCCAGAATGCCCCTCATCTCTCAAATTGAGGCTGAGAGTGTGGCTAAAGGACTTCTCCTGTGCTCCCTCTGTTCTAACGCTGGCCATCTTTTGATCAGAGAAAACCCAGCACAACTTGGTGACTTAAATGTCTCTAGGCCAAAGTTCTAAGGCCAAAAGTACCTTTAGTAATGACTCTTAATAGTGCAAAAAATAGAGACAGTCCAGAAATAAGCAGCTATCTTATTAGTTATCAGCTGTCTTATTATTAAACCCAGGATGCTTTGCACTTATAGTGTCGTAGGAGCCTCCTATAATTTAAATCTTAAATTATAAAATTGAATACAAGTAAAAAATGTGACGAGAAATCATAGTTCTTAAATATTCGAAAACAACTGACAAAACACCATTATAGTTTCCTTTTCAGACAACTTTGATAAGGTTGACAAAAAGGAATGTTTCAGCAGTCATTGCTGACCAAAGTAAAACAAACACACTTTGATAGAATGACCCTGTTGACTGGTCAGAGGCACACACAGAGCTGGCATTTTAGTGAATGCCTAAAATTTCTTCTGAGTAACAATTACGGCATTCTATCAATCATGGGAAAAAAGAACCATACAAAAGCTAAAAGCACATTGTTTTAAGTAAAGATGTGAGGAAAAAAACAACTAAACTTTGGAGGAAATGACCATGTTGGTGTTGGTTGTGTGTTTAGATGAAGCTTTGAGATCTTGAGGAATTCTGCATTAAGTTTTACTTGCTTAGGAGAACATTATATCAGAATACAGCATTATGCAGCATACAGAGAGAACTTCATGTATATATCATAGTTGGCATAAACATACAGACTAGCATTGCACTACAGCGCCATCTACAGCTCAAAAGACATATTATATGCTGTTGCATTTCCCTCAGTTGGGACGGACGGACATTTGATATGGCTACTGCAGCTCTGCACTTTGCGGTGGAGCAAGAGTGTAAGAACAGAATGTGGGGAAATCCATTGTGTCTTGTTATAATGCTGTGAAAATACAGGATACTCTTACAATAACAAATTACATGATGTTATTGATGTAGCTCTAATAAAAAAAATCCTATTGCTTTGCCCGGACCTGGGTATATTCTTTGGCTCCTAACGATAAATGGGGCAGAGCAGTGAAGGAAAGGCAAGTATATACTGTTGGAAATAAGTGGAATATCCTGAATGGGCAAAGTTCAGGTTTGCATTAAAGTATACCTGTTATAAGACGATTATGGAGCCGGTCTTACTAATAGTTTAGCTTCAATGATTTCAGACACTTTAACCTAGAAAAAGTATTCTGACTTTTCCCCAACTCATTTCCTGAGTGCTTGTTCCTTAGTCTGTAACTCATGTGTATTGAAACCAGACACAGCCAGGCAGCAAGCATTGTTTAGGAGAAAGCGAATAATGACAGCCTCCATACTTTTCTCTTTAAAGGCATCATTTAATACATCATGCTCATCATGTCATAATGACTTCCATAGCACTTAGGGAATTGATAGCTTCCTTTTTTCAATAAATTGGTCCAGCCCCAAAATGGCTGCCCACATTGTGTGTGGGAGTCAGAGAAGCTTTTGGTTGTGTTATACTGTATGTATTGATATAATTTGTTTTTAAAAACACTAATAGCCCTATAATGATTGTAGGCTAAGCATAAGAGGGTGTCTACCTCAATCTGGCCATCTTTTATAGTAGCTGCCAATGAAATGCGTGGTTAACACACTCATTAGCTTGAGAAGGAGGACAGATCAAGCAGGTTAAGGAATTTTCTGTGAGCGATAATGAGAGCTTGTTATCACCTCCTGAGGGTGCTGGTTCTCAATTTGTGGTGCATGTGGCCCTTTGGTACTTATCTTGTAGCCCTTTAGGACCCCTGTCAACAGTAGTCTATGTTTTGGTGCTTAGTCAAGCCAGTGAAAGAAAAATATTTAGATTGCCCTCAAGTAGTTAAATTGTTTGTTTTATTTCTTCCCAATATCTTCTTATATTCTTCGATGTCCATCCCTCTTCTTTTTGTATGTTTTTCTCCATTTGATCTTTTATAATTGATCTTGCTGAGAGAGGGGTGGCACAAGATATTTTTAAGAGGGCCGTAGGGAGCACAAATGTGGAAGACCTGATTTTTTTTGAAAGAAGTAGCATTGATCTTAAGCAGTCTCATGTAACCTTTTTCCAGTGTATCTAATGAAGTATGTCTCCAGTCTCTGAGTATCTCCTGCAGAATGTCTCCAATCTCTGGCCATCTCTTGTAGCATGCACATAGTCTCTGACAATCTCCAGTTGCATGTCTGCAGTCTCTGACAGCTTTCTGTAGCAATGCATTTACTGATTATTATGTGCGGCCCTTTGGTGATGTCAGGGGCTGCAGTTAAGGCCCCCTATTTTAAGTAAGTTGATCACCACTGTCCTAGGGGTATTGCTATATGGCACAATCCTATTTTGCATCAGGTCATCAGGCTAAGGTTGCCACCTTTACTTCAAGCGAAACCCGAACACTCTAGCGAAGCGCTGAAATTTTTTTGGGGAGAATGCGTCGTGGCTTAATTATTTGTAAATAGCACCATCCATTCATATGTAAATATCACATCTGAGACTATTATCAGTGGGGGGCCAGTAGCCCCTATCTTAATTTTGGTTGCTCCTGTCTGCCTGACATTATGTGTCCAGGTTTCTTCTACCAAGAAACCCGAACACGGCATTCAAAACCCGAACTGTCCGGTTGAATCCTGGACAGGTGGCAAACCTACATCAGGCCTATGTATGGTCATCCTTAGTAAATTTCACTTGTTGAATGTTCACAGGGAGAAGTTCCTTGGGCTGATAATGCAAGAAGTCAGGCAACCAGTGGAACAATTGATCTACTTTAGGGCACTTCTATTCTCCTTAATACAACAATGAAATTCCACAAACATTAAGTTAATAGAACTGTCAATATAACTTAAAATTAATTGTCCAATGGGGACCCCAGTTCTGGGGACAAATGAAATTCCCATTACTTTGGGAGATTTTCTCTTACTTTCTTTTGCAACTCTGGGACAGGAAGTGAATAGAAAAGTATTCAATGGTTCACAGATGGAAACAAAGATAACCTGGCAGGGTTTCCTACTGTAACCAAAAAAGGACTTACACTTTAACTTCATTACAATATGATACCACTTTACATGACTAAACTTAACAGGAAGCCAATATTAATCTAGGGGAAAGCCCATTCTTATTGGATTAGCATACAAGACAGTAAGGGAGGTGCTATAGGTTAGGATTAAGAGTGCTCCCCTCCCCATCTGTCACACCCCCAGAATAGACCTGACAGCTCACATCATAGGTTTATGTTTGTTCTGCTATCACTGCATGAGTAAACAGTGACTTATCACATGAAATTCCACATCAGCTACTGTTCAGAACCCTGACCCGTGCAGGACAGAGGTTACGTTAATAATATATATATATATATATTACGCACTGTGGCCTCTTAACCTAATAAGATTGTTGAATGGTTGGTTTTTCCACTTACATATGAAGGTATTTATATATGAAGAGAGATATTAAGAAATTGTGTTACAACATTGCCTTTTATCTGTGAGATTAGTTTTAGTTAGAACTGCTTTCTGTAAAATCGCCTGGTATTTGCATGTAGTTGACTACTTTGTGTGCGATATTGGCAGTTACTACCAGAAGCAATGTAACAAGCCATTATATGCTGTGTCAAAAGTAAAATCAGTTTTATTTAGGATATTATCCTAAATGATCCTCTTTAGTCAAAATTGAACATTGAATCATGAAATTAATTCAGGCAGCATAGCCTGGCTCCTAAGGAGCTCAGTTTTCTCTCCAGGCATT